GTGAGCGGCCGGGGTGCCCCGGAGGGCGGGCGCGGCGGGCGGCGGGCGGGAGCGGCCCCTCCAGCGTGGCTGTACCCCTCTCCCCCAGGGCGCCATCGTGGCGGTGACGGGCGATGGCGTGAACGACTCCCCGGCGCTGAAGAAGGCGGACATCGGCATCGCCATGGGCATCTCAGGCTCCGACGTGTCCAAGCAGGCGGCCGACATGATCCTGCTGGACGACAACTTCGCCTCCATCGTCACGGGCGTGGAGGAGGGTGAGGCCGCGGCCGCCTGCGCCCCTGCTTCCCGGGCCTTTAAGGCGACCACGGAGCCAGCTCCGGCTTCCAGGGCGGCCACACTGCGGGGCGAGGGGCGAGGGGCGAGGGGCGAGGGGCGGGGAGGGTCCCTCTGAGCGGCCCGGTGCTCTCGCCACCCCCCCCCCCCAGGCCGCCTCATCTTCGACAACCTGAAGAAGTCCATCGCCTACACCCTGACCAGCAACATCCCCGAGATCACGCCCTTCCTGTTCTTCATTATCGTCAACATCCCCCTGCCGCTGGGCACCGTCACCATCCTCTGCATCGACCTGGGCACGGACATGGTGAGGCCCGGGCCGGAGGCGGGGCGGGCCAGGCGGCCGCGTGGGCACCGCGGGCAGCAGGTGGGAGGAGGAGAAGGACCAGGGGCGGCTGGCCAGGCCGTGCTGGCCGAAGAGGAGGCAAGCCCCCAGGCTCCCTCCGACGCCCTCTGTCCCCCCCCCCCCCCCCCCACGCAGGTCCCCGCCATCTCCCTGGCCTACGAGGCTGCCGAGAGCGACATCATGAAGCGGCAGCCGCGGAACCCGCAGACGGACAAGCTGGTGAACGAGAGGCTCATCAGCATGGCCTACGGGCAGATCGGTGCGCTGGGGCCCGGGGATCAGGAGGGACCCCCGAGAATGCCCACCCCAGCTTTCGGAGCCTAGAATGGGGGGGGGGGGCTGTGCTTCCCCCAGGGTCAGGGACAGACACCTGCTGGCCCCCTCCGGCTTCCTGCCCTGACCCTGGCCCTGCCCGTGACCTGCAGGGATGATCCAGGCCCTGGGCGGCTTCTTCACCTACTTCGTGATCCTGGCTGAGAACGGCTTCCTGCCGACCCGGCTGCTGGGGATCCGCCTGGACTGGGACGACCGGTCCACAAATGACCTGGAGGACAGCTACGGGCAGGAGTGGGTGAGCTGGCCGTGTGCATGGGACTCGTGTGCACCAGAGGAGGGCCTAAAGCTGGTAGAGGTGGCCGGTGTGGCTAACGGGGGGCGGGGGGCTCGGTGGGGACTGGGTGCCCAGGATCTAACTGGCCCCGAAGGATGCTGCATCCGGTCCTGCCGCTCCTTCTCACGCTGCGGCTCCCTGCCCGCCCCTCCCAGACCTACGAGCAGCGGAAGGTGGTGGAGTTCACCTGCCACACGGCCTTCTTCGCCAGCATCGTGGTGGTGCAGTGGGCCGACCTCATCATCTGCAAGACCCGCAGGAACTCCGTCTTCCAGCAGGGCATGAAGTGAGCGCCCCCTGCACCCCCCTCCGGCGTCCCTCCCTCCCCCCCCCCCCCCCCGCCCATGGGCACCACCTCCGTGAGGTCCCTCTCAGCTGAGGACAAAGGCTTGAGTCACCCAGCTGCATAGCCACGGTCACGTTTTTAACCAAGGAGACGAGAGGAGCGATATGACTGAAAGATGAGACAGAGGGCTTGGAGACCCGGACCAGGACATGGACTTTATTGGAAGAGGGGACCGCTGCCAGCTGCCTCCAGAGGGGAAAGAGGGCGAGGGTGGGGGTGCAGGCAGCTTTAAGGGGAGGAAAGAGAAGGGATGGGGCTTAGGACACTCAGCACACGCTGATTGGTGGTTTCGTGTAACGCACATGATTAGGGACCTAGGGACTCAGGAATCGGGGGCTTAGGGTATGTGGCAGGTGCTGATTGGTGGTTCAGTGCACAGTCCATATAAGGTGCCTGGTTAGGTGCTCAGGAATGTCCGGACTGCAGGTGGAGTTTATGTCATTCTCTGTCCATCAGTTGGAGGAAGGGAGGATCTATCAGTGACTATTTCTGATGAGTTTTATTTTGTTCCTAAAATGGACTTTGCTAAGGGCTCCTTCCATCTTTTTTATTTTCATCTTTTCTCATCTTTTCTTTCTCCCTTGCTACCATCTTTCCTTCCTTCTCTTATTTCTTTCCTTCCTTCCTTCCTTCCTTCCTTCCTTCCTTCCTTCCTTCCTTCCTTCCTTCCTTCCTTCCTTCCTTCCTTCCTCCATCCTGTACTCCAGTGACACCCGCACCATCCCTTGCCCAGCTTTCATACAGGGTCTCCCGTGCCCCCTACCCTCACTGTAGCTATAGTTCCTAGCACTGGCCCTGTGGTAATGGTGTTGTCCTTGGGGGGTTTCTGAGCCGCTCGGGGTCAGGTTCAATGTCTTCATATGGTGTGAGTCCCCATGTGCCAGTCACTGAGGTCAGTGGTCAAAGCCATTGTCTAACTCAGTGGTCCTATGAGGGAATGTTGTTTCCAGTTTGTGGGTGAGACCTCCCACCATGTACACGACATGACAGGCCTGGCCACCCCACAGTGAGGGTCCACGCAGGGCAGCTCTGAACACGGGCTCTTGGGCAGCTCACCTGCCCGGCCTGGCTCTCTGACTGCAGCCAGAGGGCGGTAAGTGCTGAGGCATCGCTCCTGTTCTGTTTTCTTTGGAAAAGATGAGCGCAGTCCCCCAAGTGAGCTTTGTCACAGCTTCTGGGTAAGAGGGCAGAAATAAGGACACCGCCAGAACTCCGGCGAAGCCAGTGGCATTTCAGATCCTGGGGAGAGAAGCATGAGCCTCCTGTAATGAGTAAAGGTGCCGTGAAGGGGGGAGATCTCAGGGCGCCGAAACACCAAGGGGACCGTGCAGTGAGGAGATAGGAGCAGGGAGTCCATGACACGGCAACTCTGGGCTGGGACTTACCGAGCAGTGAGTGTGCTGGGGACGGGGAAGGTGAAGGCCACTGGCTAAACCCAGCCCACCCGAGGGGCAAATGGAAATGAGACAAAAGCCAGGCTGGGTGCTGGGCGTGCTATACCGAAGGCCCCCTGGCACAGGCAGCCTCAGCCCTCGGCCCCTCCTGCCTCTGCCCCCGGGCCCTCCGGGGTCCGATTTCCATTGTCCCAAAGCGCCACGGAAATCCAGCACTGCCCGTGAGAAGGCCCAGGCTCGGCAGAGGCCTAGGCATGAATATAGCGGTCGCATTAGCATGGTTCTGTGTGGTGGAAGCTGGGACGTCTAATGAATTTTAAACAGGGAAAATACAATCACTAATCATTAACAAATGCAGCTTGCGAGACGACAATCAATTTTTAAAATGTGGCCTTTCTGGAAGAAAAATAAGGAAATAAGGGGTCCTCAGTGAGGGAAACACTGGCTTACGCCAGAAAGAGAGGGCAGGCAGGGCAATCGGAGGACTGAGCACCGTCCGTGTTCGAGAGCTTTCCATGACTTTGCCAGCAGCCCTAAGATAAAAGGTAGCATCTCCATCTTACACGGAAGGAGCACGAGGGTCAGAGAAGTCAGGAAGCGTCACTTACCGCCAAGAGCCGGTGAGCGGCAGCCATAGACTAGATGCCACCTAACAGGCTCCAGCAACTGCCCGCAGGCCTCTTCCCACGTTGCTTTGAAGCTCGGACACAGTAAACCTGCCTTAAGCACCATCTCTCCAGCGAGCCTCCCCCCTGACAATGTTCCCTTCTTGGTTGAATACCTACAACCCACAGCTCCCAGGGGCTGCAGGGACCCTGTGGGTGCAGGAGACATAGGGGGGCCCTGGGCGGAAGCAGCTTGCCTGGCATCTTGCTGGGGAGATGGCACGTTCACAGACCGCTCCCCGGGGGCAAGAACGAGAGTGTAAGCTGCCTGAGGGCAGGCCCCAGGCCTCCAGGGGGAAGCTCGTGTTGCCCTCCGCGTCTCCAGGACAGAACACTTCACCCGACACATAAAAACGATTTATCTAATAAATGAAAACATGCGCTAGACACAACAGTGAGAGGTAACATCACTAAGCATAACAACGAAAGATCATTCTGGGGTTACACACCGCCTGGGGTGCCTGCAGAAGGTACAGGAAGAGGCACTGATGACCTTTCCCCCCATTTCCTCTTGCCTCTCTCCCCTCCACCACCAGGGGGCCCTGGTCCCTCCCTCCCCGTCCTCCCTCCGATGCTACCTAATCCCCCTTTGCCTTTCCAGGAACAAGATTTTGATTTTTGGGCTCCTGGAAGAGACAGCGCTGGCTGCCTTTCTATCCTACTGCCCAGGCATGGGTGTGGCCCTCCGTATGTACCCGCTCAAGTGAGTATTTCTTTTTTTTTTTTTTAATTCATATTTATTTTATTTTATTTTTACAGAGAGGAAGGGAGAGGAATAGAAAACTAGAAACACTGATTAGAGAGAAACATTGACCAGCTGCCTCCTGTCAAGGGCAACCAAGATATATGCCCTTGACCGGATTCAAACCTGGGACTCTTCAATCCGCAGGCCGACACTCAAACCGATTTTGGCTCAACTGAGTATTTCTTTAAAAAGGCAGCTTCTAGCCTGGCTGGGTATTCAGCTGGCCCTATGCGCCAAGGTTGCAGGTTCGATCTCAGGTCAGGACACATACAAGAGCCAACCAGTGAATGCATAAATAAGTGGAACCACAAATCTCTCTCTCCCTCTCCCTCTTCCTCTCTCACAAACAAACAAACAAACAAACAAACAACACTAAAAGGGCACCTCCTAGGATCCACGTTCCAGCCCATTCCAGCCCTCCTCACTGTACCAGCCTCCGAGGTTCCTAACCCTGTCCTCTGCCGCTCGCAGGGTCACCTGGTGGTTCTGCGCCGTCCCCTACAGCCTCCTCATCTTCATCTACGATGAGGTCCGGAAGCTCATCCTGAGGCGATACCCCGGTGGTAAGCACCTCCGCACCTCACCCACCCCCCAGGAGATGCAACCCCGGCTGTCCCC